GCCTTGGGGCTGTGCCCACTGCCCTGGGGAGCCTGTTCAGTGCCAACCACCCTCTGGGGGAAGAACCTTTCCCTGAGATCCACCCTGAGCCTGCCCTGACACAGCTCCAGCCATTCCCTGGGTCACCAGGGAGAGGAAGGCTGACGTCACCCTGTGCCTCTGGGCAGGGAGCATCCAGTCCCACCACATCCCCTCCCCAGGGTGAGCAGGGACCTCCAGATGGCATGTGCAAGGTCTGCTGAAAGTTTTGCCCCCTCTCCCCTCCAAATCAGGGGCAGGGACTCCTCACCCCATCCCTCAGGTCCCTCTGGGGAAAGCCCTCAAGCCTGGGCTTCACTCCCCACCCCCCCAAAGGGCAAAGGGGGCCAGCAAGAAGCTCTTACGGTGTCTCCTTTGGGACCACTGGATCCCTCCATCCCAGCTGGACCCTGGGGAAGAGCAAAGGCAGTGGGATGTTTGGGAGAAGAGGGGTGCTGCTCACTGTCCTGCTCTGTGGATGAGATCCTAGCCCACAGGACCCCTGCCCAGCGCCCCCCAGGAGCTGCCTCTCGCACCCCAGGGACCCCTCACCCCCTGTGCCCACACATCCTGCCCACGGGACACAGCCCTTCCCACCCTCCCACCCCCAGGGGGCCACGAGGATCCCCAGGATCAAGGATTTCATGTCCACTTGCAAAGAACATGGAGGGCAAATCCCAGCAGCTCCTTCATCCCTCAGCAAGAGCACAGGGAGAGGGGGGAAACATCCACCCCAGAACATCACCCACTCACCTGGGAGCCCCTGGGGCCGGGGGGGCCACGTCTGCCCTGCAGTCCCTGTGGCCCCTGAAAGGCAGTGAGGGCTGTTGGAACCACATCCCTGCAGGCACCAGGGTGTGAAACCAACCCTGGGCACTCCCAGCTGCTGAGGAGCTCCAGTGCCAGCCAGCACAGCCACGGCAGGGGGGACACAAAGGATTCCCACCACTGTCCCAGCCTCCCTGCGGGTTTTTTGGGGGTGTTTGGGATCACAGCCCAGCTGGAGGAGACCACCCTTGAAACACCCTCCCATCCCAGGACACCCCACCCCTGGGTGCACCCACCTTGGGGCCCCGTGGGCCAGGCAGGCCAGGAGGGCCCATCTCCCCCTGTGGAGAGAGCAGGGAAGGGATGGGGTGAGAGCAGGGACTGGGAAATTCCGAATGGCAAAGGGTGGGAACCGAGGCAGACCCACCTGAGAGCCATTGATGCCTCTGCATCCGATGGATCCTGGCTGGCCCGGCTCCCCCTGCGAGGACAGACCCTGCTCAGCCCTCCCACCACGCAGGAGGGGATGGGATGGGACCCCCAGGGCATCTCCCCTGGCAGCAGAGGCTCTTGGGGATACTGGGGGGGCTTTACTGGGGTCATTTGTAATTCCTCCCCCCCATTACCAGGAGGATTTTAATGAAATGCATCATTTTCAGATTAAAACTCAGCACAAGGGATGAACTGGGCAGGACATGGTGGTCCCACCTGCCCATGGTGGTCCCGCCCAGCTCCATCACCTGCGTTTTGGCCGCTGTTTGTACCCAAAATCTGTGACTTACCACAGGGCCAGCAGGGCCTGGGGGACCCACTGAGCCTCCTTCTCCCTGGAACAGCAGAGAAGAGATGCCATTTTTGCTCTGATTCTCCCTCCTTCATCCCAAATTCCCTCTTTCCTTCACATCAAGCATCAGCTACTTGATGCCCCCTCAGCCAGGCCTACTCCCTTCCTATTGCAAAGTGCTTCCATTCACCACCAAACCACTTCAGTTTTCCTTTGAAATCCTCTGCAAGCCCAGTCCTGGGCTGGGATGCTCCCAAAGACAGGGCTGGGAGCAGCATGGAAACCCCAGGTGCTGCCAGCCTGGGATTCACCTCAGCTGAAGGTGGTCACCTCCAATAAACCACTGACATAAACCTAAAATAAACCACTCAAATAAACTCTGCTAAGGCTCCTTTCTCTTCACCCCCAGCCAGGGGAGAACAGGAGAACAGGATTCAACAGGAGAGAGAGAGGGGAGGCTCCTGCCCCCAACACGCCTGGTTGCAAATCCCAAGTCCTCCCTTCCTCAGACCCATCTTCCCAGTGGGATCACCAGGCTCCTGCACCCCCTTGGGGACAGAGAAGACGTCAAAGCACTCACCTCTGGCCCTGCAGGGCCCTGGAAGCCCATCACACCCTTCAGACCTGGCACCCCCTGGGAGAGAAGCCAGGGGTGGGGTGTCAGTGAAGGGTCCACCCTGAGGTGGCAGCTGCCTCTGTCCCATCCCTTGCAGGATGGTCAGGAAAACACAGGGATTGTGAGAGCCTTGCTCAAAGCCAGGAGAACACAGGGATGGAGCCAGGGATGGAGCTTGGGGACATCTCAGAGAGGCAAAGAGGGCAAACCAGGAAAGGGGATGGAGGGAAGGAGGAATCCTGGCACAGCAGGGAGCAGGACACCCTCTGTTAACTCACCTGGAGGCCAGCAGGACCTGGCAGGCCATTTTCTCCCTTCACCCCCTGGAAAAGGAAAGAGCAGCCTGAGCAATGGAGGAGAGCATGAGATGGGGCTGCAGGGAAGGAGAAACCCCCTGCCCACCCCAGGGGTATGGATAGACCCCCTCACCTTCACTCCCTTCTCTCCTTTCTCCCCAGCCGGCCCAGGGTCACCCAGGAAACCCTGAAATGGGAAGAACAAGGATGTGTGAGCTCCAGATGGATCATCAGGAGCTTAAGTTGGTGGGGTTCAGGGGGATGGGGACCCCCCAAGTGCTGAATGGGGGCCCCACAGGAGCAAACCCTGGGTGCTGGTCCCTCATCCTGTGTCCCAAGCTACTGTTGCACCACAGCACCCTCAGCAGTGACACAGAGGTGCCCCAGCACCCACAGGGCTCTCCACAGGCAGGAGGGTACAAAGAAAAGATATAATATATATCAAATGATATAGATATGATATAATAAATATGATATCACAGGGGATAAACCACGTGGGGCTGCTGTTTCAAAAAGAAGAAATCAGGTTTCCAAAGCCCTGGCACGATCAGACTTCACGGGAGCCCAAAAATCTCCTGGGCAGCCCTAAAAATTTTAGCCTTAAAAGGACTAAGTGGGGACTGGGGTTGGCAATGCACTGTGCCCACGGCACCACGTGGCAAAGAAGAGCCCACTTACCTCCTCTCCTTTCTCTCCAGCCACCCCATGGTCGCCCTGGAAGCCCTGCAGCCCCTGGGGAGAAGGAGGAAGGAGCAGAGCAGGCACTGAGGAGCTGCCCAGCACCTCCCACCCATGTCCAACCCCCTCCTCAGTGGCCAGCACCTGCTGAGAGCCCCAAACCCCTCAGCACAGTCCTCTAAAACCCCCCTGAGAAAGTTCCCAAGCCCTGGTGTGCTGCCTGTATTGCCCAGGGTCTGGAAAAGGTCAGGGACCATCACAGCACCAAGGAACCACGAGTGAGATGATTTTTAAAGTCCCTTCCAAGCCAAACCATTCCACGATTCCAAGTTATTTTCAAAGGTTCAGCTGCAGCAGCTCTTGTGCCTGGACCCACCCCAACCCAGGAGCTGCAGCATTCCAGTTATCCCAGCACCTTAATGCACATCTGGGATGTTCCACAGCCCTTTCCTCAACCCTGATCCAGGACTGCCTGGTTTGTGGGCTTAGGAGGAATACTCTAAAGGAGGCAAGAGAACACCAGGAGCAGCATTAGGAGTTTCTTGGCTCCTGCCCGGGGCTTGGGGCTCCAGTTCCCCCCATCCTGGCCATGCCCTGCCCATCCTCACCTGCTCCCCTGGCAGCCCCCAGGGCCCAGGTTTGCCATCCAGGCCAGGGGTGCCATCTGAGCCAGGGTAACCCCCACGCCCTGGCAAGCCCTGGAGCCCGGGTTCACCCTGGGGAGAAAAAAGCCAAGCATGGAAAATTAAAAAAAGATCCATACCATTATGAAACCAGTGAATGAAACCCTGAGCTCTGCCTGCCTTTGGATTTTGCCAGGGCAGGGCAAAGCTTCATGAATGCAGGTGCTGCAAGTATCTGGCACATGGATCTGCCCAGGTTCTCCACTGAAACAGTGGAATAAGTCCCAACTAGCAGCAGAGCAGTAAGAGAAGGTCAAATTAAAACCTTCTGCATCAGCTGCTTGGTTCCAAGCCATTCCTGATGCTTTCCCATGTGCAGGATCCTCTGGATTGGGCATCACCAGCTGAAGCTTAGGGGCAGCTTTTACTTCACCCCTTAGCTCCCTGAAAATCCTGAATTCAGGCAAGTTAAAGAGCAGTCTGGATCGAAGAGAGGACATTTCCCTTCAGCTTGCTGTGACTGTTTGAATTTCTTAAAAATTCTGGATCGTTTTGTCAAGTCCGATAGCTGGACTTTGTTTTAGTTGAAAAAGTCAGAGTTTGAAGGAAGGGCAGAAAGATGCA